AAGTCCAACCAAGGAAAACCAAAATCCTAGGAAGCAAGATTTCCATTTTCAACTAAACAAGTTAGGCCATCTCCAGCTCTTATCTTTACTCTAGCGTGAATTTTACTCTACTGTAGAGTAGAGTGAACCATTCGTTTCCAACCATTATCTCTACACTTCACTCTACATCAAATATATTATTTTTTTATTCATTATTGTTTCAAATAAATTGATATATATATGTATATTTGATCTTATATAAATATTTATTACCCAAATAATAGAAATGTATTTTATTTATTTTTAATTCAAATGAATTGGTATATATATGTATATTTAATTTTATATAAAATGTTTATTACACAAATAATAAAAATATACTTTATTTATTTTTACTTTAGATAAATTAGTATATATGTGAATATTTAATCTCATATAAATGTTTATTACCAAATAATTAAAAAATGTTTATGTAAAACAATGTGTTTCAATGTGTTAAATTTTTATTCATATGGTAGTGTTAAAAAATTGTAAAATAAAATTATAATACATCAATAAATAAAAAGCATAAAAATATTTAACATACAAAATACATTCTTGATTCTACAAAGTTATTTAGCATAAAAATACATTTATTGATACACATTATACAAAAATTTATCGTTAATATTGTATAAAAAAGAAAAAAAAAATGGCACAATTGCTATAGTGCTGCGCTAGAACTGGCGCAACGCTGTTCATATATCTGATGCAGAGATAAAATCTAGCGCAACCTTGGAGAACATATTTCACTCTACTGCAATGTTATGCTACATTCTAGAGCAACGCTGGAGTTTGTCGTAATAACCATAGCAAATTGGCATTACCGTAAATAACCAAGATCAGAGGGCAATCTAGTAAAGACATACCATAGAGCTACTAGCCTACTACCATCCAACTTTTACCTTTTACTAAATAAATACAAGTTAAATTTAAAAAATAAAAGAGAGAGAAAAGTTACCAAAAAGCCCATGGGCTCATCTCCCCAAATAAATAAGCCCATCATATGCCTTCCAATCCCCAAATCCCTTTTCCTCACCAAATGGACAATCCAACCTCATCTGATTTTCCCTTCGCCAGATCCACCGCCGTCAAGCTGACTCACCACGGCAGCGGCGACGACGACCAGCCTTTGCTCCCTGGTCTGCCCGACCACATTGCCCACCTATGCCTCTCCCTCGTCCCACCGTCGGTCCTATACTCCGTTTGCCGCTCTTGGCGCCGTCTCATCTACTCCCAATCCTTCCCCCCATTTCTCTCCCTCTACGCCGTCGCCTTTCCCTCTGTCGCCGCCAGCCCGCCGGACACCCTCCCAGACCCCATTGAATTCCGATCCTTCGACCCCATCTCCCGCCGCTGGAGCCACCTCCCCCCGCCCCCCTCCGACCCCGACCCGCCACGATTTCTCTTCCGCCACCCGTCCTTCATCTGCCGCGACATGCCCGTCCAGTCCGTTTCCGCCGCCGGGACTCTCGTCGTCCTCGCCGCCACCGACGACCTTTTCCTCCCCGCCCTCCCCATTCCCCTCGTCTTCGATCCCCTCGCCGGCTCCTGGTGCTGCGGCCCGCGGATTCCCGCGCCCCGCCGCTGGTGCGTCGCCGGATCCGCCGGCGGCGCCGTCTACGTCGCCGGAGGGGTAGGCGCGAACTACAGTTGCGGCGTCGCCCGGACTGCAGAGCGATGGGATCTCGGCCTCCGGCCGCCGCCGGAGGCGGCGCCATGGCGGAGGCTGGCGGACCTGATGAACGCGAGGT